ATAGATAGATAGATAGATAGATAGATAGATAGATAGATAGATAGATATGGATATAGATATTTGTTTTCTTATATAGATATATATATATACAGTATTTGCTGTGTTAACAAGAATAGGAGGAGTTGTTTTTACCTGTAGGACCAGGTGGGCCAGGATCACCTGGCAGGCCAATTCCAGGCTCACCTCTTTCACCTTTTTGTCCTCTGTAGCCTAGAGAAGATAAATACAAATGGAATAAGAGTGTTCTAAAATGACACCTTTAAAGTTTTGTTAGACTCTTTCCCCAATGAGCATTTTAACTTATCTTCCCATGCAGGAAATTTAAGCAATATTTTACATACTTCCTATATACCGAAAATTTCCTGTGGAGAAGAGCAGAGGTTGTCATAAAAGTGCTGGCTAGGTATATTTAATCATTTATTGGCATTAATTTTGCCTGATTTGGATTAATGTGTACTTGAAGACAGGAAGATGCAGTGGAAGGTGAAACAATGGAGTCTGTTAATACTTGAGAATAAGTTTCATGGGGAATTGGCAGGGAACTGAACAACTTTGCGGTAAGTTTAGGATATCATTAAAAGTGCTGAGCACAGGACATATTATGATATGGCTTGCAAACTGAGATTTCAGCAGCAATGAGCTGCCAAAACAAGTACAGGATAAAATATAGATTTTATTTAAACACAGGAAATTTAGGTTCAGGTATATGTACTTAGTTTATCAAGGAATGGATAATTACAGAATGATGTAGCCATTGCATGCTTTATATGTGAAGGCTGCTGAAAAATTCAAGGTTATTCAGATATTGTATTGAGTTGGTTCACATACTGGACTAAGTTCACAATAAACCATAAAAACATGATAGTTTAGCACAATATAAGAACCTAACCACAAATGGACATGGGGATCTGAATTTAAGTTTGCACTAGTATAGAGACTACCTACATCAGTTTTCCTTGATCTGGAACCTTCCTGAGGTATTTCATGTCCATACTGGGTGAAAATTCTGGGACAATCCCAGCACATCACAAATGTCTTTAACAATACATTTAGAAAACATAGTTTGACTCTAATTGGGAAGCAGCATCCATGTAGGTACAATAGTATGCTGGATACTGACCAATAGAAGCCAGCTGACCCATTTACTGTCCTGCAGAACAGCCATGGTGTGATAAATTGGAAAAGGCTGTTCTATATGACCAGTGGACTATATCTAAAATAGTGATACATGTGGAAATTATTAAAAATAAAACAGGAGGGGAAGCCGCTTCTTTGAGATATAAATAGCATTGTTTTTTCTTCTTGGGAATATTAGAATTCCATTTTGATAGACATGGAGAATGTTCATTAAGATCTGGTAGGCCTGAATGGATTTGTGGCCTTTAAAGTAGTTGTTTCTGAGGAAGACAAAAAGGCCTTCCTGGTTGTTCCCTATGACTGAACTCCAGTTTTGAAATCAATTATATGAATAGATTTCACCTTATGAAGTTGTATAAGCAATTCTGAAGAAAAAAGTTTCAGATACCTTCAGTGAAATCAAGGGAAAACATATAGACAATTGTGCCTCTTTGTATTTATCCATGTTATGAAACTTGAATCAGATATTTGTAAGAGCTATAATTGAGATATAAAGTGGTTTTGTGAAAAAGCAGGATTTTAAAACAAATTCCGTCTTCTACTGCCAGAAAATGGGAAGACTAATCAATAGTTCTGAAAAACTGTCAGGCATCAAAGGCATTTAAGGGACATTAAGGGAATTAAAGGACAAAGGATGAAGACAGATATAGCAGATAGCTGAGAGAAATCAATTCTAAATTGCTTATTTCCAAATGCAGTGTCAGTTCACTCTGTTGAGTCACACAATTTTAGATGGGTTGTCACAACAATACTAAAGTGGAAATATATATTGAAAGAAATGATAACATGGTCAGAAAGGCATATTTGAACTAAAAGTTGTGAATTTGAAAATGCTGAGGTCTGTTATTACTTCTGGTGTGTGTGTGTGTATGTGTGTGTGTGTGAGAGAGACCAAAGGACCTAATTTAGGACTGATTTAACTCTTTGTTCACCGTTGTTCAAAGTGATGCTCCTGATCAAAGAGCATGACCACAATTGACAAAGATGTATGTCTCCTTCCAAGATTCTTCTCTGCTTGCTTCTGAATAAGGAAAACAAATGTCTTTAGCAATATATTCAGAAAACACATGTTGATTGGAAAGCAGCATCCATGTAGGTACAATAGCATGCTGGATACTGACCAATAGAGGCTAGCTGACCCATCTACTCTCTGGCAGAACAGCCGTGGTTTCCTTTATCACTTGATTGAGTAAACAACATATATTTGAATTCAGATTCATGCAAAGACATACATCATGATTCACAAAGGACATCGTTCACATATTTGCTAAACCAAAACTAAGTCATATCATGGTGTAGATAGGTGAATCCAGCCAGTGGCTCAAGAAAATGAAGAATTGCATCAAAAGCCTGTAGCTGAATTTTTTCTCAGCAAAGTGAACATTTGAGGTGCAGGCATGAGATTAATGTCAATGTTAGTGCTAGCATGAGATTAATGTTCTAGTTTTGTCAGATGAAGGGAATTAGAATAACACAATTTTGGTTAAATGTGATTTCAATTATTGTTACCTCAACAAAACAAGCATATCAGGAAGCATGCATACTGCTTAGAAAATGACATATATTAAAAAACAAACTGACAGTGAAATGGGATATTTTCATATCTGGAAAACTATGTCCCGTTGAATAGAACTCTTAATGTCCTCCAATTACCATGATTAATTTAATAAACATGTGAGTTGGAAAGGTATGTAATTTATTTTAATCACTACACTTTCTAGCAAGGGCATATGTTATGCTTGTTGTTTGTTATATTACCTTCCTTTATTTTACAGTAAAAATAATACTCCAAACCAATCCTGCTGAGCGGTAGGAGGCATCTTCAGGAAGGATGAAAAAAGCCTAGATTTTGGCCATGGCCTTGTGATTGAAATCCTGCTTGAGTTTTTTCACTCCCCCACCCATGGGCAGACTTGGTGCTATGCATTAAAATAGTCCCCCTCCCCCTTAGATATCCTCTTAGGTTTCAATCACTTGGATTGTGTCATGGATAAGGAAATAAAACAATAATTTTGAATCATAGGTAAAGAAGAAATAAGGCAACCCAGAACTTCTGCTGACATGAATCTAAGAGTCAATTCACAATTTATGACTGTGAACTCTAAGCCCCCCCAATGATTAGTCATATCCAAATTACATAAAATATTTTTACATTATTGAGCAATAACAAAACATTTATGAAACATTTCATCAACAATTTGTAAATTTTGACTTTATTTTATAGAGACAAAACAGTAAGAAAAACACTTAAATATTGTAAGAGAACACCATTCAAGAGCAATCCAAAACTATATCTGTCATTAACATAGCAATTTTAAATATGAGGTATATTTTAGTAATTATTAAACCTCCAGTGTTTAACTTCACAGTCTACCTGGGTGACATTTTAAATTTACTGCGAAAACTATGGTGTTGTTATAAGGTTTTAAACTCAAGTGAAACAAGGTGTAACTCTAAAATTCTCACAATAAATGTATAATGAAACATAAACAAGTTATTTGTTAACTAGGATTTATTGTAAAGATACAGTTGTAATACTCCATTGATCAATCACATTGTTAGCCCTGGCAGCATTTGGGAAGTTTAGAGGAGAATACAAAACCTGTTTAGATAAACAGTACTTCTTTGGATGAGTAGACGTCCAAGCAGACAAACATAGGCAGGAATGCTTGAAAAAAAAGGATGCTGACAATAAGATATTGTATCATTCTCTAATTATCAGTGAATTTTAGACTGTACACCTGAATCTTCAGTCCTACTGACAACAAAAGTACTACTTTTTTGTAAGATTAGAATTTAGGTTTCCCATTTAGAAGACTTTAAAAGGTGTAGGGTTCCCTATTCACTTACAGGTGGGTCAGCAATCTTTTCAGGTACCAACAGTGTTGCACAACTTTGAGTGATGTTTGAGATAAAAGATTTTCCAAGCTTTAGCTATCTTGCAAGATTCTGGACATTAGAATATTATATTTCATTAAAATTTTAGGATGAGTTAGTACCATCTAGGAGGGCTACAGATCAGATATGATATTCAGCGGGTTCTGACCAATTCTGGAGAACTGGTAGTGGAAATTTTGAGTAATTCAGAGGATTGGCAAATACCACCTCTGACTGGCCACGCCCCCATCTATTCTCTACCTCCCAAGTCCCAGCTGATTAGCTGGGTCTTCTTTTGTTGCCCTGCATAGGAGAACGGAGCTAGAAAGCAGGTTAGCTGGAAAGAGGGTAGGGAGGAAATGGGATTTTGTAGAAACCTTCCCTGTGGAGTGGGGTGGGAATGGAGATTTTACAGTATCCACCCCCTACCAAGCCACGCCCACAAAACTGGTAGTAATTTTTTTTGAACTCCACCACTGCTGCAGATGTTATGGTGCCCGTGGACACTGTACTATAGCCTCTAAACTAGACAAGAGACATTAAAATTGTTAGAAATGTCTAGAACACCTTCTAATGCCAGGGGTAGGAATTCATGGCCATTAAAAAGAATCTTCTCTCTTTGATGTATGCATTTCTTTTCCTTCTAAATAGAAAAGTTGGCATGTTTCATCTTTCACTCAAAATCTGCCTTAACATATATAACATTTGTATGTGTATATTTTTATTGAACGGGAAATCTATAGTACATTAGAGTTCTCCATATTTGAGAAAATATTCCTCTTGCCCTCCAGTTTGATGACAGAACAATAGATTAAAACTATGAAAATAATTTCTAGGTTATTTATTACTAAACAGGCTATGTTTCTACAATCCATTGCTCTGCCTTCTACTTAACTTAATAATTGGACAAGATGCATTTACATTAAGGTACTTTCTATTGAGAAAATTTTATGATTGGGATTCAGGTTTCAGAATATCTTTTGAAGAATTTGTTCTTTAGGAGGTATTTTATCTTTAAAATGTGGGGATCTTTGAGGAATATTATTAATCATATGAGTGCATGAAACTAGGCAAGAACAAGGTTGTTAAAAAAAAGTGAGCCACTGAGACATGTTTTAGAAATCCATTCAGTTATCTGCTACATTGAAAAAAAACTTTTGTAGTAATTGTACCCATTATTTTCATTTCAACAAAAAGCACATATAAACTGTCTATGGGTAATCCTCTGTGAACAAATGCAATTGTTTATGGAAATTACATTGCTAAGGAGTGCGGTAAAGTGTGACGCCACATGATGATGTTGCTTAGCAATAGCAATTCTGGTATTCCTGGTTGACATCAATAAACAAATTACTGTGAATTGTTAAGCGAAGATTTGGTCGCCATTTGCGACTTCCTGTCAGCTTCCCTATTGACTTTGTTTGTCAGAAGCCAACAAAGAAGGTTGCAAATGGCTGACTGTGGGATGCCCTGATGGATGGAACTCCCAGGACTGGCTGTAAGTTCAGCGCCATTGGAAGTCTGAATGGCCACTGAATGAGTGGTTGTTAAGGAAGAATCACTTGTACTTGTGAGGAAAATTCTTTATGTTTTCTTTACTTCCTCAGTTATATAAAAACCAGGGTTAATGAAAGTACAGACTGCCACATGATTATCATCCCCCCCCCCCAAACAATATAGGAATTTCAGCTTTAAAATTTACCCTTCATAACTAGATTATTATTTAGCTTTGCAAAGCATATTTTATTCAATGTCTCACTTAATAACTGACATTATTCCTTTAATGCATGTTAGTGTCTATAGTGTCTTCTTGTCCAGGTACATTGTGGGATAGGAATATCCTGCTTGAATACTGAAGCTAGTATACAAGAAGATGTTGGGCATACTACAAGTTCTGTTTCTTTCTAGCCTCACCTTCTATACTGATTCCATTGCTCAAATGGTATAATTGAATCTTTCATTCTGTTGATATTCTGTTGAGAAGCAATTGGAAAACACTATTTCACTCATTCAGAAAATAGTTGAAGCTATTTCAATATTGCCAGCCTAGTGCTACTGCAAACTTCTGATTGGCCAGAATTTGAATTTACTGGCTTCTAGTCACTTTCAATATTCTGTGGAGAATCTAAAAAAATGACAACCTCATCTCCCATGTTATGAAGTATGGGAAGATGTGTCGAACTCTTAGTAGCCATCTGGAATTTAGCAGCTCAAATTGGGTAGTCCTACAGTTGTAACCTTGAGTATCCAAAATGGGAGAGGTGAGCAGAGAAAAATTAGTTGGAAGCTACAGAACATCTCATGAGGTAGTGGATAGAGGGCTTGGCAAGTAATCATTTGATAAATTGGTGCTTTGTAAGAAGTTGTGTGAACTGCAATTACTATCTGGAAAACAGGAATACCGCTCAGCAGCCATTTTGGAATAGTGCTCCTATAAATGCTCAATATTCCCAATATGCTATTTAGCCCCAAAGGCTGAGGACTATTTTGGAAGAATGAATGAAGCATTTAAAGAAATGAACATTGGTGGTAGATGTATTTTTCTGAGAAGCAGATCTTGCAAGCCATATCTTTTTGGAAGTAAATGAACCTGACTTGGTTGAATTTTCAACTGCAGCATTAGCTCTAAATTACTGAAATGTTTACTGTGTGGCGGCACCTGGATATAATTCAAAATACACATTTTGTTCAAAGCATGGCTGATTTAGGGTTGGTGCAATGAGGTAATATGCTACACTCAGAGATATTTTGCAATGATCTCTTTACAAATATAACACTAAAAGCAGCTTTTATTATTGTTGTGACTAGAAGCCTTGTTTCTAGTTCTTCACATGCCAGTGGGAAATCATTCACATTATATCTTGGTTTGCTGGTTTTCATTTTCATTTTTTTTTTACAAACATCTTTAGCTATTCACTCTGTGCATCCTGGTTAAACAATCTAGCAACAGAGATATTCAAGTTGATTATTTACAAGAATTTGCATATTTTGTTGAGGAGCAAGCCATATTCTGAAAAACTTCTAGTCCTCTGTAACAATGTGTGATCTTTTCATTCTGGTTCTTCTCATTCTGAGCTCTTTCTCAGTCTCTAAGCCATTATTCTTCTCTTACAGCTTTGTGTTCCACACTTCTTCAGCTTTGCTTTCATGTTCTTCATTCTAGTCTGACTTGCTCTGACTCCAGAGCAGACCAAGCTAACAAAAAATAATAATTAAAAACTGCCTATACTTATATAGGGTTTATATCTACTACCCCAATCATAGTTTTACAATGTGAACTCTAAATATCTTGTTTGTACATTTAAAATGGCAATATTGTTTGTTTTCACTGATTCACTGAGACTAATGTAATATAATACTGAAAACTATAAACATTCCTTTTTTTTAGTTGATCAACATGTCGCTTTACAGAATTTCTTGCTAAGTTTTCTTTAGATACTGCACAATCTAATTACAAGAATATATGTATGTAGTTAAATTTACTGGAAAAGTAATAAATTGTAACATTTACAGTTTTTTTTTCATTTTGGTGACACTTTAATTTGTGTATATTTTATAGCACATTGGATCCCTAAGAACAGAAACTCAAATAACTCATTATGGGGTAATCCTCTTATTGTTAGAACTATCCTATCTTCTGGTGCTAATTATTCAGTTAGAATAATTGTAAATTAATAAAAGGAGTATATCAGTATACAGTTGTGATCAGTTATTAAGATTATGCACTAATTAGAAGTTTTACAACAAAACAGACTTCTAAACAAATGTTAATATATTGGTTGGTCTAGTCTAGAAAATGATAGTACAGATTTAAAAGTTAATTGTTAGAAAGCTATTACCTGTTTAGTTTTACCCAACTTTGAAGTTGTTTGAATGCTTTAAAAAAATATGCATATAGGAATGATATTGGAAGCCCTACCTGGTGGTCCAGGTTCCCCAGGTGGCCCAGGTAATCCATCTTTTCCTGGAAGACCTGGCTTCCCATGAGTTTGGGAAGCTAGCATAGCAGCAGGCAGCTTCAGCTGAGACACAAACTGAGTCATCCTCTCTTCAATTATTAAAAAAATCACAAGGATAATAAAATAGCATTAAATATCTTTTCAACACTTGGAAAAATACTTGTATCTACTATGTTATCTACAGTATTATGGTTTATAATTTTTCAAATTATAAGTGGTCATTAAAATGGTTATTCTTTTTTTTCCACTTCTCCCTTTCTTCCTGGCTTGCTTTCTGATTTTTCCTGAGATGTGCATTTGAGTTTGGCAATATGTTATCTTTTTAATGCATTTAATTGCCATGGCCATGGGTGAAGGGCCAACGAGAGAAGCTTTATTATTTATCAATTTTAGTCTTTTAAGTAGATGGTCTGAAACTACTTTCTAGAAGCATGAAAAGAAATAGATAAACTATGTAATTTTAAGGGAGTCTTGTGCACTCCTCCCATATCCCCATTCAACTTTCCATTTCTGCCACATCACTTGTTTGACTTCCAGTCTTGTGTGCTTTAACAAAATAATTGGGAAGTTGGCTGCGATATGAGAGGTGCGTACAGTCTCTCTCTGTAATTAGCCTAGTCTGAACTGAAACCTATTCCTGTATCAGGTATAGATGGAAAAAAACTGGGCTCTGTTATCTTTCAAGATCTTTGGTATGTGGGAATCGTCTGTCCAATAGACATGCTTGCATTTTTATGACACCTTAGTAATTGTAACATTTGATGCAAAATATTGTATGGAAGATATGTCTGTTAAATAACATCAACTCTTCCTAGAAAACCATCCCATATCATAGGTATTCCTTAATTCAAGGAACAAAAAGAAGATATTCTTTAGGAAACCTCTGAGCGCCTAAGAGTAGGATTATTTTGTTTCATTTTGTTCATTCTGTTATTTTTTTTGTCTCAGTCAGCAAAGAGAAAGAAAATGCTGAAAAAAGGTTACGGATCGCACAGGCTAGTTAGCCCCTGGATGACATTGATTGGAGAGCAGACCAGTATCAAAGACTTGGTGAGGAAGCTAGCAATATATGTTACTTTCCCTCTACCTTATTATGTTTGTGTAGTTCAGAAACTGACACTGAACATCACATCTATCTATGTAGCTCAAACTCCCTGTGGTTTGCATAATTTCACTTTAGAAGAGGAAAGAGAAGAAAGTCATAAGGGGGTCTTCTTTTGATTTTACTGCTTTACTTGACCCTTAGGGTTTTAACTAACGCCATTCATCAGAGTTGCATATTTGGCAAACCATGTTTAAGACAGACCACCAAGTCCTTAAAAATCTCTTTTTTTTACTATTTGTCCAGCACTGCAAGAAAAACATAAGTTTGATTATCTTCTCCCAAGATACAATACGTCATATTTTGGAGGATGTAGGATGGATATATGTTTCGTTGCTATCTGTCCTCTAACAGGTCTTCTCTTTAAGTCTAACAGATTAGTATCCTTTGTGATTCCAGTACACATTCAACAAGCAGATAGTTAGTTAAAGGTATTTTGAATGTCAATTCATTATTTGTGATTGCAATAGGTGACTTGGAAGGAGCCTGCCTGCCTTAAGCATTTTAAATCTATTTTGTATAAATGACTGACGCTCAAATGTTACATATCCAGTAGATCTATAATGCACAATTGGAAGCAAATATTTACAAAGGAGATGTGAAACAGGTATTATATTTTCTCATATGCCATTTCCTTACCTTCAAAAACTCTAAGAACCTCCTGTCTGACATATTTTTTCATTTCCTCAAATGAAATTGAATCAGCCTGAAGAAATAAAAAATGAGGGAGCTTAAGAATAGATGGCTTGGGCAACGAAATCATCAAAACAAATAACATTGTCTTCATGTTTCTATTAAGAGCTCTTCAACAATAAAATTTATAAATAAAATTCATGTAATGAAAATCTGCTAGCATTACTACCATCATAACCATTCCTGCCACCATACAAACAATGCTATTGCCTTCAAATACTTGTTTCTCAATTATTTGTCCAGAGTTTTATTCAAGAAAGAGATGGCCAACTCCAACCAATGAACAGCATGCAGACCTGAAGGCCCAGAACTTATTCCAACTGCAATTTCTGAATATAAAAATAGGATTTTCTGCCCTTCTGGTGTAGAAAACATATAAAAGCTGTTGTTTGATCTTTAAAATGGGCTTAGAATAGAAACCCATTTCATTATCTTTGTTCATGATAAGTTCTTCCCATTAAATAATGCCATTTTGCCCACTGCAGCTTTACCCTTTCCAAAACGTTACGTGCAGCACATAGCCAATGAAGGTTGTCCATTCCCTGCCCTTCAGCTTACCGGTATTCCTGGGACACCTGGAGGGCCCTTTGGACCTGGAGATCCTGAACTGCCTTTTTGCCCTGCAGATCCAGTAGGTCCTAGGGGCCCTTGGTCTCCTGGTAAGCCAGGCTTCCCCCTTTCACCTTGTGGGCCCCTATCTCCCGGTATACCTTGATCACCCTGTTGAAACAAAAAAAAAGCATGCCGTGTCAAATACTTTGCTTGAGCTTTCATTTATCTTAAATCTCTTGAAAATGAAACCATTAATGATAATTAGAGGGGTGCAGTCCTTTGTATTTCCAGCCAAAAACATCCTTAGAGCTTTGCAAGGGTGCTTACATAGCACTTTCTGCATGTTCTTAAACAAACTTTTTTTCCCTTAGGATTGGACAGCCACACTATTTTGGAAAAAGAAGAGTAACCAGCGGGTGCATTTCTGCATGTTTTGAGGCATATTTTTTTGCCTTCAAATTCAAAACACTTTACAGTCCTACTAAGTAACATTTCTTTACACTACAGAATAACATTCTGTGAAAGAACCACACAGAGAAGACCAAGAAAACAGGAATGCGTTAACAAAACAACCAGAAAATCTCATAAAAGTTCTACTTTCTTATCAGCTATAAGGGTTTAGCACCGCAAAAGAAAGAAAATATAAGAAAATAGACGACTGAAGTATTTGATTCAAAGAAAGAAAGATCCATAGGAATTCCTATTCTTCTAATTATAGTTTTTTTTAAATACAGCAAATGCTTAAAACAGATCCTTCTTACTTAGTTTATCTACTGAATTTTGGATTAAATAACCCTAACCCTAACCCTAATGTGTTTATCATAAGGGCTGTAAAGACAGTGTTGTCTACAATCCAAAATAAATTGAAATAAGTCCTCGTTGTAATATTAATTATATAAAGTGATTCATTACTCAAACTGAAATTATGAAGGTGACACATACAACTTAGATTTGATATATTTATGAATCTACTCCTTCAACAATGGATAACTATATAAATCAGCCTTCTCCAGATTCATGTCCTCCAAATATACCAGAATTGCAAAAATATCAAAAATTCCACCCCGAATCTCATACCAGTGTCGTTTTTTTTTTCATTCAGGTTGAAGAATTTTTTTTGGCTTCTTGAGGACATGAATCAGCATCACGAGTTTTCTTTTCTGAGCACTAAAAAGGCTCAAATATTAAAAATGTCCTGTAAACTTAATAGAAACAAATGAGGGAGAAAATATATGATGGGGAAGATCTGGCTTGACAGTAATAAATGTGAAAAGGATAGATCAGTAGCTGTCTTGCAGCTGCTAAAAATCTAATACTATTTGGAGATGCCTTAATAGGAGTATGGAGGTCAGAATATGGAAAATAATCATCGCACTCTAAGTCAGACACCATTTAAAATACTGCATCCAGTTCAGGTCGCTTTGGTCCCAAACTTAGAATGAATTCATTAAGACTTCTAAATAATCTGCCATTTTAAACTGTTTGATTTCCATTGTATTAATATCCATCAAAGCTATAATACTTCAGTTTATATGCATTTATATCTACAAGTATGCATGTAAATCGCAAATAATAAGCTGGATAAATAGTATAACAATTGGCAAAGTAACTTACACGTTCTCCTTTGGGGCCTCTATCACCAGGTTTACCCATTCCACCCTACAAAAAATGGAAAGTATTGCTAAATATGTATATTCTTGCTGACAAAGGCCAAAAGCTCAATTATATTCTGTATACATAAATAGTTTTCTTACCTGAGCACCAGGCAATCCATCTTTCCCATTTAAGCCCTAAGGAAAAAGAAACATAATGATTTTCATATTACCAAAGGTCTGAATTTTGCTATCTATATCTTAAGACAGAACAGAACATAAGCATAAAGCCCTCAGAATGCAAAATGTCAACTGATAAAGTGACTGAAGACAGTTGGCAGTTGCCCCAAGTCTTACTCATTCAGGGTCCAAAGGGCTCAATGCATTCTTCAATCACATGACCACAAAGTGGTTCTACCTGGCTGTCGGACTTAGAGTAGCATTTAATGCCTGCAAATTATCAATAAAACTAACTTCTAAACTAATATAATAAAATTACCCATTACTATATAGATACCTGGGTATCTATATATCTATAAACTTTTATATCTATAAAAGTATGCACTTTTATTATTGTGAGGTCAATTTCCTTTACAGGTATGTTTAATTGCTGAGGAGCGTAAAGATAGTTTTATCACTTTTCCCTTGTAAGACAATGGAAAATCTCAGTAAATTTTAGCAGTTTCATTTTGGGGACCTGAAGAGGAGTAAACAATAATTTTGGCCGGGTAGCTTTTCAGGGACTTAATAATAATAATTAATTAAAATAAATTGATCAGATTATGGCATAAATTGGTTATGGTGGTCCCAGGATTATCGACACATTGGATACTATACCAAAAAATCTTGGATGGCATTTAGAAAAACTGCATTAACAAAATTTCCATTTGTCAATTGCAAAAGACCACGTTGCTTGGATCTGTACATGTATTATGCTGATACATTACAACTTCTTAGATTCTTGGGAAGAGCCTGATGCATCTAAAGACCAGCCCTAGTTAAAGAACTGGCAGCTGTGACTTCACATGATTGTGAACAAATAATAATAATATAACCATTTAATAATTGGCCATTAATTAATTAGCTGGAAGAAGAAAAAACAAATCCCTGTCTTGGGTCATACCAGAATCCCTTTTGAATTACTCACTGGTATTCCTGATGGCCCTTCTGGCCCTGGGAAGCCAACATCTCCAACAGGGCCTCTTTCACCCTAAAGGAAAAATAAAGAGTTTCTTATATTAACTGAAAGCAATCAGAATACTAATACTATTATGGGAGTGCGGAAACCTAAATGCTCTTACAGGTTCTCCGGGGATTCCTGGTGGACCTGGAGCGCCATGCTTTCCCTGTGAAAATAAATACATAGAAAATCACCTTTAAAAATGAATTATTTAGTCTGCTCTGTAATTATGGCTGTTTTAATGTATATTAGATGACAGTATATTACACTGATATTGCCTGAACAATGAATTCTTCCTTAGTTATAAAAGCTTTTGGTTCCATTCTTATATATACAAACTATACTAATGTAGCCTACTCACCCTAAATTCAGTGACACTTACTTCTGAACAGTAAAGCATCTTTAAAAAATTTTTTTTTAAATATCTTGAGATTGTTAAATCTTCCTAGGATATAAATTGATCTCAAAATACTTTTCAGATGGCATAAATTAAGTGGAGCTTTAGTTATAAAAATATATCATAAAAAGAAGAGTCATAGCTTAAGTGCTGCATGTGTTAGTCCTTCAACCCCAAAATTTGCTCCACAAAATGGAGCAAAATTGTCACATTACTGTTTTCTATTCCCCCACACTTAAATCAAAGTGAGAATCAGAGCAGAAAACCCCTAGAAGGTGAATTGCTTCTATTCCTATGTTACATGTGTATAAGTTGGATGAAAATTTGAAAAGATTTTGGTATCACTCTTTCCAATGATATCACATTAATAGATGCCCCCCCCAGACTCTCAACAAATCAGGAGGTTGATCTGTAGCCCAGCTGAATGTACCCATTGCAGTAATACTATAAAATGGATTACAGATAGAACAAAGAAAAAAATAGAGAAGATCAGATATTCATTCATTCATTCATTCATTCATTCATTCATTCATTCATGCAATTCTTCCATGACAGATTTCTTAATTCTGAATGTAGGTGTGGACTTGTTTTTTCATTGTCTTTCTAGCATAAAACAAATAAGGAATAATTCTTCTTGATTTGCTAACCACAAAAAATTTTCCTCTAAAACTGAATGCTCAACACTTTCTAAATATGGAGATCATTTGTAAAAAGAAAAAGTTAAGATTAGTTATTTGGGTATAGTTCCAAATTCTTTTGAAAATTCAAAATGAGATGGCAAGTAACATAGGAGGTATTTTATAGTAAGAAAAGAGCATATAAGAAAAGATTAATGATTAGGTATGACAATTTTGATTCTGAACATCCAGAAGAGTATTTGGTTACAATTTCCAACAGTTTGAACACATTGTTATACAATGCATGACTAGTAGACTTTACTCTTATTATTTACTCCAGTTATTGTGATTACTATTCACTTCCACAAAATGGAAACATACTTACAGGTATTCCTGGAACTCCTGGAGGTCCCACTGATCCCTGGTCACCCTAAAAAAGACATACTACATTGCAGTATTTCCAAAGTATATATCTTTACTCAGGACATGACACTTTACCTTAAATTATCCCAAAAAATCTTCAAGGCATGAACTTTTTACATGTAGCCATATGTAAACTGTATGTATGTATGTCACAATTGTTTTGCCATATTCAACAGGAAAACAAAGACATGAAGGTTTCTGAGTGGTGGACTACAAGTATGGGAAGACTGGAAAAACAGGGTAGTTTATAGCCAGGAATAATGACCGTGATTGTGATAATAGTAACATGAGAATATTCAAATTCTTTTATCATACAATTAATTCTGTTATAATCTCCTTTTTGTCATTTATTAACCTCACTGCATGGATAGGACATTCTCTTTTCCTAAATTTGTATTTCTACTACAATTAAGGCAATCTCAATTTCCTGCCAACTTGATGCTTAAAGAACATAATAGAGAAGCCTATTGAAATAAAGTCACTTAAATCTAATTTATTCCTGGAATATACCTATTAAGAGTCCACTACAGTAGTAATAGAACTTCTACTATCCTGGCAACTCCTGCCAAATGCACTATAACTATATAATGTAGAGTATATAATACTCTAATAAACCAATATCTGATTTGTTTCTCACATTCATCTCATATACATATAGGCTTGTAGCTACAGGCAAAATGACAACTTATGTGAATATTTATAGTACTTTATAGTACTTATCAGCTTTTGTAATCTGATATACTGATTTCTGAAAAGGATGCTCTGGAGGCACAAATACTCCTATGTATAATTCAAATAGACCACAATGAAGAATCTACCAATTACAATCTCAAGACGTCCAGAGGAGCAAGGTGGAATTTTATCACTAATATTAGGAAAAGACACAATAGCAGCTTCCATTCTTTTTTCTTTTGCCAGGGAAGGAAGCATTATAAATCAAAGCTATTTAATAGAAGGTAACAAGTTGCTCAATAACAAGTTGCTCAATAACAATATAGAAAGATGATTTGCAAAGATTAGGAAAGCAAAGTTTATACAGATTGAATCTGCATCTTGTAATAGAAGCGATCATATGCTTTGTCTTGGTATTTTGTACTGTATGATTTTAGCTATGGTGGTTTAGAAACGAAGGTTTATGGTTACTGTTTTAGGAATCCAGCCAATGTTTTTCATAAAAACATGGTTAACTAAGCCATGACTTAATGCTATATGTAAAATCAAGTATAGTTTTTTCTTCCCCCACCCTAAATTTTATCTGAATTGACAGTACACTCCATTTGGATTCACAGGCCATACCATAGTTGCCAGCCTGGTGCAAAGCAGTTTGCCCAAAAGAAATAGCAGTTAGTGTCCAAGAATCATCAGCCAATATTTTTGTTGTGCATAGCAAGCTTTTCTTTTACCTTCAACTTCTTCTGTGAAATTGCCCTAGCACAAACAGCAACATCTCATGTGCCTGGTACTGTCATAAGACTAAGGTGATATCCATTTGCTTAAAATACTCAGTTTTGCTGCTATTGTAAAATTTAAATTATTCTGTTCTAAATGGAGGCATTTCCTATATGATTTAAATATGTAAAAGAGAATTGGAAAAGAATGATAATTGTCAGTAGGTAAATGCAATCAATTTTCCACATTTATTTTGCGATTAAAATGCTACCTTTTCTCCTGGTAGTCCTTCTAAGCCTGGTAGTCCCATTGGGCCCGCTTCACCCTTGAAAAGAAACAAAAAGACAATAGTTTCTGATTTCAACACCCGCTAAGTAAATCAAGTCAGATGTATTTCACGAGCTGCTAAACACACTGCTTACTTGGAAATGACAATTTTTGCCCTGCTGAGCATTTTAATGACTTGAAACTAAGATTCAGATTCAAGACTGTTTTCTGTGTGATGTCTGGCTATACAGTATTTAGGTCTCACAGGAGCATAACTTGTGATTACATTCTCTTGCACAAATAAGAACTAATGGCCATTTTAGCTTCTTTTAAAAGGATCTGAGCCTAGTACTAAATTGTTTTCCATCATCACATCTGATAAAATTTAATTCCATAGTTCAACTATATGTACATAAAGTGGTTCCTTTTATAAGGTCAGACTCTCTCTTTTAGCTTCATAAGTAAACCAAATGGTCAATGTTGGTTTCTAGTTTTGAAATGGGACAAAATGACTTCCATAAATCTCCTCTCCACCTGACATTATGTTCTCCATGGCCATTTGCTTTCTTTCCCTAACTGAGACTAACTATCCAGAGGGAGAGAAGAAGGTAAATGGAAACCAGAAATGGAAACTAATGACCAAACACATAAGGGCACATCTTACAAATAAGGACTCATTTTACCCATTACATACCACAGCTCCAGTCTCCCCCTTTGGGCCCTATAAGAAAATAATACATCATTTATTTATGAGACTGATACTCCATGAAGACTGACCCAATGGTTTTATGGCCTTTTATCAGAATCAAGAATCTTCCACTATCAAATGAATTAGCCTATAAAATATATTATTTGATGGTTTAGGAACCATCATTCCACAAATGTTCTGAGTTTAGGAAAAAATGGTATTTGAAAAATAATCTGGGGAATGCCTTTATTTTCCATGTACTATAATACTTTTACTCCTCAATATATGCAGTGAATTACTTTGCAAGAAATAGATCATTACAGCAGATTATTTGTTTGTTTATTTATCATGTTTCTTAACTACCCATTTCCCTCAAGATAATTTATCATTTATCCACAAATAATAAAATAATTCATATTGATTCTTCTCTATGAATAAACTCATGCATCCACTGGGGTTAGGGTTGGGCAAGAATTTCTGCATATATAGCTATTATTTTTAATAATGATCTTTGCATCTTTATAAAATAAAATGTTTTCTTTTGAAATAAATGATAACCAATTTTAAAAGCCCATTTTTAAATGGAAAGAATGAGGCTAATTGGTTTAGTGTAAGTCTTGAAATCTGATTTTTTTATTTTTGAGAGAACCACCCTTAATTCTCATTTCACTTTGGATCAATATTTGTTCTTTTTAGCAACAATTGTAGAAATCTGGACAAATAGGTTCTTCAAATGGAATCAAGGTTCCAATCTTCTGATATAATTTTCTGTAATCATTTGGCACGCTGATCTAAAATTCAAGGAGAAAATCTGACAGGACTTTTTTTTTTAAAGAAATGCCAGAAAAGATATCTATGAATTACTCCTTCTGGGTACTAATGAATCTGTTTAGCAATGAATAGGCTCCATCTCCAAGTAAAAAATTGTATATTGTAGCTGCATCTGAGAAATGATTGTTAAAATACAATCTCAGAGAAAACTTAAAATGCAATTCTTTATATCTTATTGCTCTCAATACATTATTTTAAAATAGAAACATGTTTACATTGGCATCTTACATTTAATACTTCTACAATTCAGTTTTCCTAATAAATGACTTTAATATATTGAAGAATATTATATCAATTTGCAGTGAAATGTTGAGTGTTCAGTTTCACAAAAATATTAGTTAAATATCCTAGCAGCGATCCTTGAAATCACTGATAATAAACTTACATGCCTTTCCTCAGTTAAATATTGATAAAGTCAATTTTTCACTTCAAAAGCATGTGTCAAAATATTTCCCAAAGCAGCCACTCATAGTAAACAGTAAAAAACCCAAATCTTGAGAATAATATTGTCTTGACAGGCCTGGCTTTTATATAGATCATAATATTTATTATTCTTTGTAGAAACCTCTCCAGTGCTGTACTCAACTATTCTTATCAAATGCTTGCTTATGAAACATTACTCATTCCTATGATTTCTTTCTTTTGAAATAAACCCTCATTTATTTTACTGTCATCAACAAATCTAAACTATAGAATACTTTATTGGCCAAGTGTGATTGGACACACAACGAATTTGTCTTGGTGTAATACTCTCAGTAAATTACTAAAAAAGCATTTTTTCTGCTATCCATTATCTGATCTATCTGAATGAAAAATTCTGTGTTTATCTTTTCAATTAATTAATCTCATATATATGTAATTTGTTGGAAAACTGTCATTAAAGAGATACTTGGAAACTGTTTCCAATCATCTCATTATGTATCAGAAAATTACATTAACTATAATTGTGTCAATTTTTTACAGGTTGATAAGAAACAAGAGGTGATTCTAAAGGGATATTTTTCACCGATTCCAATTCAATTTTTCATTTCATTCCTTTTTTGTTGAGTGAAAAAGTTCTGGAGATTTGTTAGGTAAGTTATTACAACTTCTTTTCAGAAGTTATTTTATTTGTTATGGTTTTTATTTTTAATTGGCAGCTTTTTCTGACAAATAATATATTAAAGATTTCCTTCTCCAGAAGCTCTTGGGAAACCAAAAGATGCTTAACTTCCACTATACTTTTTGATCTAGACTTATTTTTGTCAATACTGTAGCATTTCAGTTACCTTTTTCCATTTTTTGTCAAAAGACTAAAGTCTTTAGCTGAGGATAGACCAGATCCTGGCTCTCCCAATGTGAATTCAACATCTTGAACACAAAACTACATTGGACTTACACAGGCAAAGTGGGAGGCCTGCACATACAGTATCAGAATGCTGTCATAGAATCAGGACAACTGCAACCCAGTGAAGTTCATTGTGTAGGACTGCACTATGTAGTAATATGCTATTTTAAAAATAAAATTATAATCTTCATGTTTAAACTCTTTTGAATTTTTTAAAAGTAATTGAACATGGTTTTTATTTCTAATTGTAAACTGCATGGACCAAGATTATGATACTCATTGGACTTGACAGGCTTATCATCTCTAACTATGCTGATTTATAATTTGATTTTTTCAACCATTTTTTTCTTCCATGTTTTTTTCTTCCAAAGTCCAAAATCATAATTTTTAAAAATGTATAATGTCACATTGAAAAATACTCTGAAAGACATCAAAATGAAGTGGAATCTAGGTACTAGTTAATATTACTACTATGCAAAATGCTGTTTTTCTTTTTAATCAGTCCTGTTTCTGGATGGAAACAAGAAAGTATTGCAACTTCTACAAATTTGGATGTATAATCATATATAATAAATATCAAACTATAATAATGCCATACTTACAGGAGGCCCAGGGGGACCAGCATAACTAGAACTTCCCTGCAAGGGAAAAAAAGACTTCATATTAAATTAAATTTTAAATCTTGTAAAATGACTTATAGTTAGTTTAGTGCCATTGGCCTTACTTTTTTTAATTGATCTTTTGTGGAGTAAGAGTATTTTGTTTTATGTTATGGAATACTATAAGTTTTAGATGTAAAAGATGTGGATAGTTCTTAGAAGATCTGCATTGATTTTTAAAAAAATGTAAACTATTAAAACTTTTCTATTTTGCTATTTTTAATCAATAAAAACAGGATATACATTCAACAAGAAAAAAATGTTTTCCATGCTATGAAATACCTGTAGTTTATATAAGCTGCTCATGCCACTACTTTCACTATATGACATACCCTGAAGAAAAAGTAAAAAGAATATATTAATGAGAAACCTTAAAACTCATAATAAGTCCTGATAACTTCTAAGATATCAGCACTACATATTCTGAGACAAGAATATGAAAACAGAAATTCTCCTAAACCAAAAAGCAGGTTTGGGAAAATTCTGGATCTCCAGGATCAACCTATAGGTTTCCTCCTGTTCCTAAGCCACCTTACTCCAATTTTCTAGCTTTCTCCAGGGCAGGGTAAACTATGAGGCAGAATGACTCTGGCTTGCACTTAGATGGCCTTCCATTTGACCATGCAAAAAGCAAAGTCTTGAAGGAGTTGCACAGATTGACATTTCCACCTCCAAAGCCTTTTTTTCTATGCAGTAAATGATTGGAAAATATAATCCAAATGTTTTCAAGGACTATCACTGAATAATATTTCTCCATTTGTTGCTGCAAGGAAAAGGTCTCCATGAAGAATGAGACGGGAGAACTTCCCTGCTTTGATTCCATGGACTATCTTTCTCCAGGAAGATATTGTTTCTGCTTACAGAAACAGATCGTGTTAAGACCAGGCATTTCTCTAGGAATAAAGCGACTGATAACATTTGACCTATTGAAGCTGTTAGGAAATTAATTCTAGCTCCAGAGTAGATTCAGTTTTTCCTTGATACAGACCTTTCCTGTTGATATATTACCCTAACTTTGGGAATCTATTCCACTAAAATCATGCTATGAAATATTTTAGGACTTCAGCCACTTGTAAGAGAATTCAAATTACTTACAGGTGGTCCAGGCTTCCCAGGAGCACCCTCATTTCCCTAAATCAAAAAAATAATAACACTCTGAAAAGACCTGTTCCACAGAGACCAGTAAGATTTTATAGAATATACACAGATAATACTTGCATTTAAAATGTGTAGTACAAAGTAAACAATATTTAGAATTGTTAGAGCTCGTTCACATAAAAATGTTTTTGAATGCTACCTCTTATTTCAGTGGCAATTCAAAAAGTTCTCTGCACTTCAGTTTAATGATTAAGAAATATTCTAATCTAACCATGGGGACAATTACCATGCAAATTAAAAACTTAATTCTATTCTTTTACTTGCATTTTAAAAAATATATTCAGAAGAAAAAGACCAAATCAACATTCTTTATGTGAGTGCTGTAATATACCATCAGTAACTATAGTACTTCACTGTAGGATACAGAATTTGGCAGATAGATTACTAAAGTTAATAAAGTTGAAAAAAATGGAGATATTTTATTGAAGATAAAAATATTTTTTTCTAAATAACTGCCACCAGTTCCCTGTGACAAATTGTCTCCACAATGCTAAAAACTTTATGACAAATTGTCTCTGCAATATATAAATTCAGCATATAAAAATGAAAAGAAAGTGCACTGCTCTATTTTAAAAGATGGCATTGATAGTGATTAATCTGTACTATGAAACAAATTGTTGTAGCAGAAGGCATTCATTCTCAAATGAAGAACATTAAACCACAGGTGGGTTATGAGAGTCTCGAGAATGCTGTTGACATTGAAGATCTTGGAACACTTCAAACTTAAAGGTTTTTTTTAAAGAACTCATCTATTCTTAGTACATTTCAAAGAAATTATTTAAACATGTTTAAGAAATTAGTTTTGGGGTTTACATGTTGATAAATGACCATATTGTGAGTCATAAACTTTCAGCAAAAGGATGAGATCAGAAGTACTACAATTTCACTTCCGGTTGTAAGGCTTCGGCGGTGGCAGGAATCCGCTTCTCTGCGGGTCCCTGCTGCACTCGCTGTCAAGGTACCCCCGATCCAACTGGATTTGGGGGTTGTCGCTGCCCTGAAGGGGCAGCGGAAGACAGAGGAGATCCGGGCAGGGGTCTGGGGACATCGCACCCCCCTTCCCCAGCCGGCTAGACTCCTTTTTCCCGAGACGGATGAGCGGCTGTCTCCATGGCAGCCATAAAGGATTCTTCAACCGGATAAGTTTGCGCAGGAGGAAGTCTTAGAAGGAGAAGTTTTCTTGGCTAAACCACGACATTATGTTACTTTTAAAACACCCTGGAAACCTGATTTTGGATTGATTCATTTGTTTCCAAAAGAATCTGTTACATCGGCTAAAGTGCTGAAGGAAAGTTCACTCCCCCTCCCTACGGAGAAAGCAAAGGAGCACAGAAAAACTTGCTCTCTAAAGGTAAAAATAAGCTCTTTGTTATAAGTGGGAAGGGGAGGACTAAAAAAAAAAATTTTTTTTTAAACTTTGCTGGAGGAGACACCTTGAAGATTACAAGACCATTAATTAATGGTAATACGGCTTTTAAAATATATCTGGGATTTTGCCTCTGGAGAAAAAACTGTAAAGAGAAGAAGAGGAAAAAAGTTTTGTTTGCTTGAATTGTTTGATAACTCTGACATTTGGAAACTACTTCAAGATTGAAAGCATCTGGGTTGTTTTATAATGGTACCACCGGTTGATGAACTGAAAATGGAATATGAAAAATTAAAAGAAAGACAACAAAGTGGCAAGGATTCTTTGGGAGCTGCCTTCCATTTTTTAGAAATGGCGGTTTCTATGTACCAGCAAACACTGGAGGAAGGAGAAGGAGAAGAAGAAGAAGAAAAGGAAGAAGCCATCTTTAATGGACTAAAAAGTTTGATTAAGAAAGAAAATGGGAAGGGAGGAAGGGAAAAGGAGAATTTAAGATTTAATAAAACAACCAAGAAAAAGAAAAATAGGTTGAAAAGAAGGTACAATGTTAGAAAGCAATTGAAAAGAGAATTACAACAGAGAGGGAAATTTAAAAAGGGGGAGAGGAGAGGAGGGGGCAAAAAGACCAGATTGGAGAAGAAAGGGAGGGAAAAAGAAAAAAAAAGCCACGGGTTAGGACAAGATTTTTTTTAAAAAAGTTTTTTTTTTAGAGATGAAGGTTGATAGATAGCTTATAATTAAAGAAGATTCTGCAAGAGTGCATAAGATAGTATTGTAGTATTTGTATTTGGAACAGTTTATTGGAATATTTAATGAAATATTAATGTTTAATAATGATGGATGTTGATATTTGATTAAATATTAGGAGACTTGTTAAATGATTAATGCTTAGTTAAAGTTTAATTTGTTAGTGTTTTAATATTATTATAACTTTAGTATTTTATTTTTTCTATTCTAAAACAATGTACTTATCAGAATTAGAATTAGAATAGAAATTATATATTTAATTATACTATGTTTACTATTCTTTTATTTTAAGATTCAATATGTAGAAGGTACTAAGCAGAATCAGGATGGAAATTATGTATTATTTTAAGCTTTATTTTAGAAGAAGGCGTCATACTTCAAAAGCGATTACAGGGGAAATTTTTTGTTAAAGGGAAGAGATACATAGATGTTTGGTAAAGAACGGACAAAAGACATAAGTATAATGACTTTGAAATAAGATGAAATAAATAAAATATAATTAAGAGAGTGAAAAGATGGGAGAAGTTATATAGAAAATACAAAATGGTTAATAAGATATGAAGGGTATATAAGGTGGGCATGAATTTGATTTAGGTCTGTCAAAAAAGATGTAACCTGGGGCTAAGTCACTTTTCAAAAGAAGTTTTATGTTTTATGTTTAGTGTGTGGATTATCTATGTTTGATTCTAAATTAATAAAATCTCGGAGAAATGAAATTAAAGGGAGAGAAATTGGGAAAAGATATGTATAAATGATAACTAAGGAGGTTTTTTTTCCTCCAATGTTTTGCTTTAAGTGTGATAATTTGGAACCATGTTTTAAAAAATAATGCTTTATTTGTCTTGTTGAAATTTATAAGTAATTCTTAGAAAGGAGGTTTTATACCTCTATGTGTTATGTTTTGTTTGTCTTTAAAAATCAATAAAACTTGTTCTTAAAAAAAAAAAGAAGTACTACAATTTCTGCTATCAGGAACAATCAATGTTTGAGCACATATTTATTGAGGGTCAATTACCACTGAGATAAGAGATAGCATTTTAAAATATTTCTATGTGAAAACGCTCTAACAAATTTAGTTATTACTTTCTTTGTATAGCTATGCAAACTATGTAAAACCACAAATCCATCTTTGAATTTCAATAAAATGAAAGATTCAATCTCAATAATGTTAAAGGGTGTACCTGGAATTCCTTATTTAACTAAGAAGAAATTAAGTAGAAACAACAAAAATGCTTTTAGAGGGGTATGTGTGAACTGTGAAGAGTAGCAGACCTTCTCGCCTTTTGTTCCTGGTGAACCAGGATGTCCAGATCTTCCTATTGCGCCCTGTAAAACAAAGAAATTACACAAAACAAAAGAATTTAATGTCATAACATTTAGAGTTTGAAAGCTGTGCTTTTGGAAAGTAATCTTAAAGAAATGATTTTGTGCAATTATTTATTTAAACATGTATTTTATTTCATCTGACATATCAGATATAAACCAAAACCAACATTGTAGAGTGTACCTTTTGCAGATAATGCATTTCATACAACTCATCTCAGTGTAAGACTGACAATTCTACTAAAAGAGAATTAGGGATATGACCACCATTTTATTGCAATTACTGCAAAGTTTTCAAGGAATATTTTCTTTCAAGTTATTGCATTATTTGTTTAAATTCCAATACTGTTATCATGTTTAGGAATTATGAGATGTTCTTTTTATATTACAAAATACCATGGAAATCCTTTGTTCATATCTTCTTTTGAGATGTTATTAAAACTGTTACAGCCATTCTACATTCCTACTGATCCCCACTGAGGTACCAACCAGATCTGACCCTGCTTAGCAAGGAACCAACTAAGATATTTCCTTTTTCTGTAACCTATCAAGTACAATTATTTGCACTCAATTTAGAAAATCATCTTTCAAGTCATATTGAGAAGAACATTGAGCAGCAGCTGTCAAGTTGTTAGGCTGCAAGATTTCACTGGCAAATATAAAATTAAATACTTACAGAAGGTCCTGGTGGTCCTACCACACCAGGTAGCCCTGGAATTCCTTGAAGGCCCTGAAATAAATCAAAATATGAGAATGGGAATATGTGAACTATGCTTGGGTGTCTGTGATATTTGTTTAAATCATTGCCAACAATCTTTACCTAAATATACAGAAAATGCAGTTATATAGCAGTAAATATTTTCTATACACAATTAGTTTGGATGAATCAAACATTATACTAATTGGTAAGAAGGTTCCTAAACACATAGGGAAAAAAGCAGGTACTAATTCAAGTTTACAATAAAACTGAATATACAATAAAAGAGAATATTGAAGAAACATTAAAAACTCTGGAAATAGAACATGTTTCTTGATACCATACTTTAATTCTCCCTTTCGGCATGGGAAAAGAACCCATTTCTAGTGCATGTATACTCTCGAAATTTTCCTGTGAGGTTTATTCAAAGATCAGTGGAACCAGAAACATTTTCAGATTGACTTAAAAGTATAACCCTGCTTTGCTGATTTTGAAACTATATTTTGTTCAGATACAATCTGCTGTCCTAGATAAAGGATTAATTTAGCCTCTGGCTATGTGATAGAATGTGAGAATCATTCAAGAGTGCTAGATTGTCTAAGAAGCTTATCATCTGTGTAGCAGTGTGACTCTTGCTCAGAAGCCAAATGAGTCCGGGTGGCACCCTACCGATCTAATAAAAAGATTTGCATTCACTCTGGAGTCTCTTAAAAGTCTAATTGCCAATTATAAACCAGCCCTTTTATTTGGCTTTGCCTTTTGCTCTTTACTCTGAAGAGTAAAGTATTGTTAAGAATCGCTTGATGTCAGGTGTCTGGATTTTTTTTGCTATTGCAGTTTCTTTGACTGCATTGTAAAGGAACCCCATAAGGATACTGTGAAACACACAAATATATAAATATAATTGCTTGCCTGCAGTGAATTTGAAATAATTCTTGCTATTTTATTGAACAGGTTTCTGCTATATTGGTGCTATATTACATAATGCCATTATTGCTATATTTTTTTTAATCTTTGCTAATGGACATTGGAGCATAAGGCATTCATAGTTGTATACAGATGAAACTGTATTTAAGCCTCTGCTCACTTTTTTTTTATTAAAATCAATTAAATATGGTGTTTTCCCCAAAGCAAATTTATTCTGATAAGCTATTTGTCAAAGTATATATGATTAGCCCTTGTATGAGGACCCAGATTATTGGGGGCAATATGCTGACCCTGTAAATAGCTTAGCAAGGGCTGGAAAGCACTGTGAAGCGGTATATAAGTCTAAGTGCTATTGCTATAGCTGTTCAGCTACCAAGTGGAGACATGGCCAATTACACAATGTTGCAAAATCCACTATTCTCCTTTATAGAGAGAAGAGAAATAGGTAGCAAACAGAATGAGGTAGGGAAAAAAAGAGGAAGAAAGGGAAAAAAAGGGAGAGAATGAAATGAAGAAAAAGACAGGCTGATGGACTAAAGGCAGGAAAAAAATGGAAAGAGATTTATGAAGAAGAGAAAAGGCATGTTATTCATCAAGAGATGATTTATTCAACTGAAAGCAAGAAATAACCTTCCATTTAAATTTCCTAATTTAAAAATGTTTTTGGGGAAAAAAACAACCACTCATTAAAAATCCCTTTATCTGAAAGATCCTTGGTCATGTGGGAATCCCTGAACCTGCAGTCATGTTTTTTTAGGCAGAGGAGATTTTTTGCACTCAGTAATATGAATAAGGAAAATCATTTTTTTGCAGGAGGCTGGGAAAGCATGAAGTAAATTCACTTTGTGAGGAATGGATGGTGGAGAAATGCTTTCTGTATGTCAAAAATGTCTTGCTTCCTAGGGATGTAGTGAGAGGATTAATAGATGTGGCAGTGACAGCAGCAAGGCTTGTTAAATCAAATGCCTGAAATCCTAGAATGAAGACTTGGAAGATGACAAGGGTAGCACTAATAGGAAAACTATTCTAGTTACAGCAGGAGTAGATCTTCATACCTCATCGCCTTTCTCTCCCAGAAGACCAGGAAATCCACGTTCCCCTTTGCTCCCCTTGGGACAAAGAAAATATACATGACCTGGTTTATAAAACACATTTATTAAAAGGAAACAGTTTCAAGTAATGGATGCTAAAATAGCACAGCAGAGATTGTAACATACTCTTTGTTCCGCAACTCTAACAACTGCATCATCAATGATGGCTTAAATGCATATAAACATTTACATTTTGTAATCCAATAAACACTTGGAGTTGAATCCTACTAAATTCAAGAGAACTGTTTAATTTTCATCGAACTGCAGTATTGATGCCAAATGACAGAGTAAGAGAGATCACTCTGTATATATGAATCAGCTGTTAAAAATGTTCAAGATAATTTTGTACAGGAATTCTCCTTGGTACTTCATTGTTCCTGCATTTTCTGTAAAGTTCAACATTAAGTAGAAAGTAATTTTTTTTAAAAAAAATCATTTGTCCATGTTAAATCAAGAAACCAGACTGAGGGATCTAATCAAATGAGTCCAACAATAAACTAGTAGGACTACCACTATTGCAACTCAGAGGACTCGTGTAGCTCAGACATTGTTATTTTGAAATCAGGTCAAAGTGTAAAATCTGTGAACTTGAAAAATCTATTGCCTTGCCCAGATTCCTTTTCTTATTACGTTTCCTTCATAAATTCTGCTCCTGTGCAGCCATCTCTTTAATTAAAAGCTTTTTTCCAGAAGAGTGGACCAATTAGGACTAGTCACTTATTTTGAGGGGGACGTGCAGGAATGTGGGATGCACATGATCTTTTAATCTGCAAAAATGTTGATTATTTCTGGTAGTGATAACAATGTATTTACAACTTTTAAAAGCAACAACCTTGCATGTATAATTAAATAAAATCCACAAATTATCAAACTTCATTTTAACAAGCTCACATGAGGAACTCACTTTTGACCCTTCTCTTCCTGGGATTCCTGGGGGACCTCTTGGACCAGGATCTCCCTTAATGGCACAAAGACAATGGTAAAGGGATTTAAAAAAAAAAAAAACCACCGTAGCTTTGGAGAATGTATTCAAACAGGACATAATACTAGATATATCTTCCTGACTTCAAGATCTTGCTTATGATAAGTCTGCAATATTGCATTTTCTCTTCTGAGAAAAACATTTTGATCAAAATATCAAAAGCCTTGATGATTATTTTTCTAAGATAGATCTTGATAATGTGAAGCAGAGTGTTGCCTTATTTTGGATTTTTGTTTTTGAAGTGATAAATATACGAATAGCATTAAATGTCAAACTTAAGAAGAAGGCCTTCATTACTCAGGGAACTTCTGTAAACAATTGCTAAAACAAAACTTTAGATAACAAGACTTTGAAAATGCATGGATGTTATATGTGCAGAAAAAATAGTCATTTTATATTTCTATAAAAGAAATATAATGTTTCAGTTTGGTGTAGTGGTTAAGACATCAGGCTAGAAACTGAAAGAAAGTGAGACACAAAGACAGTTAGGTGACCTTGGGCCAGTCACTTTCTCTCAGCCCTAGGAAGGATGCAACTGCAAAGTATTTCTGAAAAACCTTGCCAAGAAAGCTGTAGGGTCATTGACAATTGGCCATGACTGAATGGAAAGGGGGGAAGGGGGAGAAAAGAAACAAAGTCATGCTACAAACAGAAGAAGGACTAAAAACCACAGGCACATGAAACTCTAAATTTACTGAAATAATAAACTCTGGGTTGACTTACCATTCATGATTAATAAAAATTGTGGATGGTGAATTATGAATAAGGAGGGCCATTGATATAGATCTGCCATTGCCTTTAATCATCATGCCATCTACTGTTTATGACTAGGAGACTAGTGCATGCCAAAGACTGATAAGACTAAAAGGACCCAAAACAAGTAGCCTATGAAAATGTGTTTTTAAAAAATTGGTTAGAGTGGCTACAAAAAGGCAATTACCTTGAATAAAGTACTCATATCACCAAGGAGAGGAAGAGCAACCTGTAATTAAACACACTGTTAGATTTGTGCTTACATGAACCCAAAACACATTGTTTTTTTCTTTACTGTATTTGTTTATTCCATCTGTTCAGGTAATTTACTTATATTAAAATTTAGCACTGTTTTTAAAGTTAATAAGGTATGCAGTTTGTTCCATATTTTTGACATTGGGAACGATGATCAATAATTGCAGAAAGCAATCTGAATTTAACCTGGCATTATATAAATTGTTGTAAGATTTTATTGTTACATTTACATTTATTCTTTTCTTTTAATGCTGCTTTTCAGAACTCTATTGTTGATTTTATGGGCCAAACTGAATAACTTAGGGGAAGTATCTAGGAAAGTAATTCAGTTGCTAGGTAATGATCTTCATAATTAGCTAGAACCATGACATTAGAGATGGACTGGCAGTGTCCCCAAGGAGGCTGGCTTTCAATCATCCACTAAATTCTTTAAAACTGAACAATGATGACCAAGGAAAAAAGAAGAAAGAAAAAGAGAAATGAAGGCTAGTTGCTAAACTCTAGTCTTTGTCATTTGAATGCAAGATCTGGATGACTGAGAATCTACATAGACTGAAGCCTTATGAATGATGGAATACATAATTCAGTAGGGTTGCCTATATTTACTTGTTTTGAAATCTGTTTGGCCATTCTCATTTTTCCTTATATTCTCCTTTTCAATTTTTATATCTAAAGGTTTGGCTTTTTTAGTTCCTAAAAGTGAGCTTCTTACTAAAACTATTCCCATGGGCAAGACCACACCATTACACAGTTTCCCTTTATGCTTCCAATTTGCGAAGTCCATCATTGCTACTTTTCTTTCTGTTTTATTAGGACTGAGACAATGGGACAAGTCCTTGGTAGAAGGAAAGAACTCTGCATTTGGACTATCTTAGCAGGAGGTTCAGTTCAACGGGGGGCAGTTTATGAGAATTATTTTTTTAATAGAGGAAACCTTGGAAGAGATGCCTGCAAGGGAGACTTTACATTAAATATCCTCAAAAAACCTAGGAAAAGAGTTGCAGAGAGAATGAGGAAAAAATTCTTCTGAAATTCTTCAGTTTTCCCAATTTCTCTTTCTAACCCAAATCTGAATTATTCCAAATTCCCTCCCAGCTCTTTGGGAGGATTTGAGACAAGGAATTTGACATTCTGCATAACGCTAATTTTTGTAATTGTTCATATAGTATATCTAGGAGCCCTTTCAAAGAGGAGTTATGGGGGTTATCTCAGTTTATATCTTTTCTAGCAATGTAGGGATCATTTAAAGAATTGATTCAAAAATATTTTCAACTCTTCAAATGTAAATAATTAAATATATATTTTTTTTTTCTTAAGTTTTCGCGGGTACTTACATGTATGGCATTCAACTTCGTTCGGGTATTTTCCCACGTCATTGTAGTTGTGCTTTTAAAGTTGTAGCAAGGTTTCAGCAGAATCTCATCTGCCATCATATATATATATATATATATATATATATATATATATATATA